TCTCAAATCAATAAATAAAAAAATATTTAAAAAAAAAAATTATGTAAGTAATAAGTAAATACACTTTTCTTATTTAAAAAAAAAAACTTATAGAGCAGGCAAAGCTCCTTTTATATGTTAGTCCCCAGGGCGCCTGGGTGACTCAGTCCATTAAGCATCTGCCTTCGGCTCAGTCAGGATCGAGCCCTGAGTCAGGCTCCCTGCTCAGCGGGGAGTCTGCTTCTCCCTCTCCCTCTGCCTCTCCCCCCTGCTCACTCTCTCTCCTGATCTCTCTCTCCTGCTCTCTCTCAAATAAATAAATAAAATCTCTTTTAAAATTAAAAAAAAAAAAGTTAGTCCCCTCCACCAGCCTGGGTCTGCTTCCTCCCTCTGTGAGTGTATGTATATTCCTACTACTGTTTACAACATAGAGCGTATCATGCTGTATAGATCTGCAACTTGCCTTTTTTCTTAACACTATATTTTGGAGTTAGAGCCATGGGAAGACATTTAGATCTGCCTAATATTTGACTGCTTCAGATTATTACACAGAATGGTTTATCTCAAATTTTTAAAAATGTTTTATAATTAAATATTACAAAGGTACAGAAAAGTGTAAACATAATAAGACAAACATCCATAAAGTCAACCCTCAGTCTTTTAGAAAAATCTTAATATTTTGCTGTATGTGCTTCAGCTTTTTAAATTGTTATTATGTTCAAGAAAGAAAGCATTGCAGATGCAGATTGAGGCTCCTCTCGTACACCCCCATCCCCTCCTTCTCTTCTTTCCCCCTCAGGGCTAAACGCCACACGGAATTTTATGGGTGTCATTCCCAAGCATGTTTTATACTTCAGCTACATGATTATGTATCTATAAACAATGATGGTATTGTCTGGCATGTTTTTAAATTTTTTTAAAGATTTATTTATTTGAGAGAGAGAGAGAGAGAGCATGAGCATGAGCAGCAAGCAGGGGCAGAGGAAGAGGGAGAGGGAGAATCTCAAGCAGATGCCCCACTGAGTGCAAAGCCCGACATGGGGCTCGATCTGACCCGAAATCAAGAGTCAGACACTTTAACCGACTGAGTCACCCAGATGCCCAGGTCTGTTTTAAATTTTATGTAAATGTTTATCAGTGTATTCAGCCAGCGTCCAGGGGAAGGACGTTTAGGTTGTTTCCAGCTTCTCTCTTTTACAAAGTTGCAACGAGCATCCTTTACTCTTCCTTGTGTACATACTAGTGTTTCCTTAGGGTAGAAGCCAAAGGGGAGCGTTTATTGGATCATAGTAGATGTTTTGTTTTTTGTTTTTTTACAAGTCATACAAACCGCTTTTCAAATTGGCGTTCCACGTATATTCCTGCCAGCTACACTATTATTTTAAGTAAACATTTTTATTGCAGGGTAACAGCCATTTAGAAAAATGCACACCTAAAAACTGCACAGACTGATGAGTTTTTACAAAGTGAACACACTGCGGTCCGAGAACAGAACATTCCCAGACCACAGACACCCTTCCCCCGGTACTGTCCCTGTAGTGAGGACCCTCCCCTCAGGGTGTTCACTACCCTAACTTCTAAAGGACAGTGAACTCAGTCTGGTTTTGTACTTTACGTAAACGGAATGGTACAGCATGACTCTTTTCTGTCTTTGCACTTAATATTGTATTTTTGATACTTGCCCAAGTTGTTCTATATAGTTGTAGATTATGGATTCTTGTCACTCTTTATTTTTTTTAAGATTTATTCATTTATTTTAGAGAGAGAAAGAGAGCAAGAGGCAGAGGGCGAGGGAGAGAGAGAATCCCAAGCAAACTCCCCGCTGAGCACAGAGCCCGATGTGGGGCTCGATCCCATGACCCCAAGATCATGACCTGAGCCGAAATCAAGAGTCTGATGCTCAGCCACCCAGACGCCCCATCTTGTCGCTCTTTACTATCCCATTGTGTGACTATACCACAGTTTTATTTATCCATTCAACTGTTAAGGGACAGTTGGTTGGTTTTCATTATAATAGTACTGCTAGGAACATTCTAGTGACATTGTATTATGCATGCTTTTCTTCTAGGAGTGTAATGGTTGAATCATAGTGTATGTATACGCTCAGCTTTAGTAGAAACTGACAATTTTCCATAGCGATTGTACCAAATGACACTCCTACCAGCAATGTACGAGAGTCCCTGTTCCTCCAGCCTCATCAATACTTGGTCATTCTGGTCATTCTGGTGGGTGTGTAGTAGTGTTGCATTATGGTTCTGCCTTTCCCTGATGACTCATTACAACACTGTTTTCCACGTATACAGTTATATTCTTATGGTTATCTCATTTTTCTTCAGTAGTCCCCCATTATAGAATACATACGTTATTTCTGCTTTTTCACAACTAGGAACAATACGGTGATAAACATCTTTGTATGTCTTTGAGATAAATTCCTAGAACTGGCATTATTAGGTCAGAAATGATGATTATTAAGTCTTTGGAGACACATGGCCCTGCAGAGGGACGGGGTTGGTTACATGCTCACCAGCCAAGTAGAGACAACTTCTTTTTCCAGTCCTAAACATTGTGGGACTCAGCCATGAGGGTGCTCTGGCCCTCCAGCGCTTTGAACATTGTTCAACAAATGTTGATGGCCAAGGGGGAAGATGCTGTTGGTCCCTGCCTGGCCCCCAGACTGCCTCCCGTGCCTCAGGGGGACACATCCTTCCTCCCCTTTGGTATATGTCAGGATGAATGATCATGCCGTGACTGGCCTTTCTGGCCTCCTGAGGGACCTTTCCATGACGTGCCCTTTCTGTGTGTACCTCTTTCTACTCACTGCTGTGCAGAGTAGATAACAAAGGACAATATAGTGTTTGAGGATTCACAGAGACCTGGATTCAAATCCCAGTTCTGCCTCTTACCAGGGAAAAATTATTCCACCTCTCTGGGCCCCAGTCTCCACTCTAAAGTGAGAAACTCAGATGTTTGCTGGGAGAACAAATTAAAGGAGGAGAGGTTAACTAAGTTCCTGGCCTAACTTTGCAAAAGGTGATGCTCAAATGGCCATAAAAGTATTCCTTTATCACTGGGGAACTAAAAATTAAAACTACAATGAGATACTATTGCTCCCTCAGAAAGACTAAAATTAAAGACTGACAAAATCAAAGTTAGCAAAAATGAAGAACAACCAGAACCAGCGTGGCTTGCTGGTGGGGGCAGAATGGGTGGAACCAGTCTGGGAGACTAGAAGTTTCTACTGAAGCTAAACTTAGGTGTAGCCCATGACTCAGCATTTCCACCTCTAGCAAAATACACAGTAGAAAGAGATCCACGTGCATGCAAAAAGACTCAGACAGGAATGTCCTGGGGCAGCTTTGTTCATAATAGCTCAAAGCTAGAAATTGGTCAAAACCGAATGTCCATCTGTAGCAGAAATATTATGGTATAGTTGCACAATGGAATACGATACAGCAGTGAAAAGGACACATTGCTAAAGACGCAGATGAAGCTCACCAACATAATGCTGAGCAAAAGAAGCCAAGCATAAAAGAAGACATGCCATCTGATTTTACTTATGTGAGGGTCCAAAACAAGACAATATGAATTTTGCCAGAGGCCAAGAGAGTGGTTATCATTAAGGGAGGTCATGACTAGGAGGGACCATGGAGGTCTTCCAGGAGCCAGAATGTTCTATATCTTGATCTGGGTGGTGGTTGCATCGATGTATGCATATGCAAAAATTCAGCAGGCTGTAAATTTAAGATGTGGGCACATCACTGCTTGTAAGTTACACTGCAGTAAAGAAGGAACATAAAGTAGCTGGCTTAGTGCTCAATAAATAGGAAATTGAAATATTCCTATGCACATTGCACATTCCCTGACAGTATCAATCATAGCTCTTGGTACATGATACTTGCTCAATATAGGCTCTTCGTTCTCTCCCCACCCCTTACGTTGATCGCAGGATCTCTGTCTGTGATGAGGACAAATTTGGCCATAACGAGTTTATCGGTGAGACCAGATTTTCACTGAAGAAACTGAAGCCCAACCAGAAAAAGAACTTCAATATCTGTCTGGAGCGGGTGATCCCGGTGAGTGCCTTAGCCCCAAGGATGCGATGGGGGAGAAGAGTTTGGGGGCTGGGGTCTTCCTCTGGGCCTGCAAAGGGGATGATAGATCTGCAGGGTGCTCGACAGTAGAGGCAGGAGGGAGATTTCAGGTCAGAGCATGGCGGTCGCATCCCAGTTCTGCATCACTTCTGACGTCACAGTCCTCCTCGGTGCAATTGGGAAGGGCAGTGTGCTGTGGCAGCCTGGGTTCAAAGCCCGGCTCTGCCACTTTCCTGTTCCCTGGCCTTGGCCAAGGGTCTGAACTCTCCTGAGCTTCAGTTTTTCTTGTCTACAAAATGGGCGTTTTAACAGGACCTGCGCCAGAGGAGGGTTGTATGAAAGATAGAATCAGAACAGAACCTGGTGTCTAGTAAGCACTCATAAATTAACTGTTGTTACCGTGGAAGATAATTCTGCCTGACCCGCTTGTCGGTCACGAATTCATAAAGCACCATGCAGATCAACAGGAGGCAGGGTCGAGTAGTGCCTAAGAGCATGTGCTTTGGAGCCAGACTCCCTGGGTCTGAATCTCAGGCTCTGCCACTTATAATATCATCTGAGCCAAATTATTTAACCTCTCTAGGCCTTAGTTTTCTCATCTGCAAAATGGAATCATGTACTAAGTACCAACTTCATTGGAGTCTTTTAAAGCTTAATGTGAGAGCCCATATAAAGCGTTGGAGCTGTTACTGCTAGGGTGGGCACTCGCCTTTTGGAAAAGAACAGGAACCAAACCGAGGCTCTTCAGTTGGGCCATACCTCGGAATCAACCGGAGAGTTTTATTTCTATTTTTTTAAGTTTAATGTATTTTAATAACCAACTTACAGGAACAGCACAAGAGACAGACAACATTAAAAACAGGTATTTGCAGGCAGGACAACTCAGAAAAGTATAGTGAATATCCATCCATTCACTGGGACCCACTGCATGATAAAAATGCCACAAACGCCAATTAGCTGCCATCGATAAGAAATTTCCTTGTTTAAAAAAAAAAAACAAAAAACCCAAATGCTGGCACTGTCCAGAAAAAAAAAATGTAGCAGGTTTATTTATCATGGTTATAAAGTTGAACCTGCTGAAAAGTGTCCACAGATACTGACTTGCATTCATGCCTTAGGTCCCCACATTTGTGAAAAATTCACAAACAAATGAAAACAGAAACACTGTCAATACCTGATTTCTGTCGCCTGTTTTTCCACTGGCAATCATTACTTAGTACCTTTTGACCCCAGGGAAGAAAAAATATCGAACGTTCAGAACTACCAATAACAGGAAGACTTTTTTTTTTTTTTTAAGAATGAAACATTTTCCACCATAGTGGAGCCTTAAGCACGTTTCCACATGTGCGGCGTGCTAGCTGGTTGTCTTTGGGCACAGTCCTTACACGTTGGGCATGGAGAGCACACAGACTGGTGTCTTCAGAAAGACCCAGCAGGGAGGCCTCCAGAGCTGCACTCTGGATGCGCAGATTGTTTTGCAGTCCTGAGCAATTGCCCGCCCCAGACGCTGGAGAGGGAGTTTGTGCATCCAAAGTTCAGTGGATTTCTGATAACGTCTGATTTCACAGAGAGGCCGCGGTGCCCGGCCTGTAAGGATGAGGTTTCTTCAGCCCTTAGGTAGAGGGCACGGTCTGGTGAGCAGCAGTTTGCCGGCAGTAGGAGCCTCCGCCCAGACGCCTCCTCACTTCCCCTCCTTCTCCGTGGCTGGCGCGCAGGGAACCAGAGGCGGCTTGGACCCCAGCATAGTGAGCCATGGTGGCGCAGCCCTGGCTGCCAGGGCAGGTCTCAACTGGAGATAAACGAGCCCATTACAAACTCAGATTTGTGCGGATCTCCCTGGAGATCCTGACTTAGTGAGGTAGGATAGGACCCAGCAATCTATTTTAGAGAGAATCCAATCGGCCCCTTTTACAGATGGGCCACCTTGCGCCCAGAGAGGGGAGCAGGCTGCCAAGGTCATACCACAAGTCCGTGGCTATGCTCTCAGGCAGCCGCCAGAGCCCAGCTCTCCTGCAGGGCACCTGCTCCCCCTGGGCAGCAGGCCAGCTCCCCGAGGGGACGCCGTCGCGGACAGGCGGGGAAATCCTGCAGCATCCTCCCACCAGAGGGCCGGCCGGAGGATGGAATGTCTGTGTGCCACGCCACATTTATATAGCACAGGCGAAAGAGGAAGACACGACAAGGAAAATTGCAAGGAGCAATTTACACCAAATGCCAGGCTCCAAATAAATCATTTACAGACATTCCTGAGAGTGAGGCATTTCCTCTGGGTCTTTGCCTGTAACAGCTGCTTCTTCAGGCCCCCTCTTCTCTCCCTCACTCAGTGAGTCCAGTTGGTCAGGCCAGTGTCCAGACGCCCCCTGGGTTTTCAGCTCCTGAGTTTGCCCATCTTGCTGTGGGGGATGCAGCCAGCCCCAGAGGCACGAAGGTGGCAGGACAGGCAGAGGCCAGGAGCAGCCACAGGACCCTGCTTATTATCTTCTTTTGTTCTTTGCCCTTAACTTTCCCACCACCAACTACCCCACGTGCCCCACCAAGGGCAGGGTCCTCGTAAGTGCTTCCTCTCCCCTCTGGATCTCAGTTTTCCTCATCCCTAAAGTGGGGAGGTTAGACTTAGCCAGTGGTTTTCATATAGTGTTGCCCAGAGCACTAGAATCCCACAGAAGAGCCTTAGGAGCCACAGGGCAAGAAGTACCTGGGGGCTCAGACCCCAAGACCCCTGTGCCACTTCTACCAGAGCAGATGAAATCTTATCTGTTTTGTGTATGGTGGGCTCTGCCACTTGTTGGCTGTGTGACCTTGGGCAAGTGGCTTAACCACTCTGGTCCTCAGTGTTCTCATCTGTAAAATGGGTTAGTAATACACCCTACATCATAGGCTGGTGTGCATTAACATGGTCTGTCCAATGGTTAACATTATATAAATTTTATCTAAAAGGGGAAAAGCTGGAAGGCCACAGAAGCTTGGAGAACCCACCCTCATGGCTCTGGATGCTAATGGAAGGGTGAGGTTTTCTGGTCCTTCTTATGTAGGGAGATGAGCCTCATAGACTCATGTTCTCTTTCCTTTCTGTTTCCTTCCTCTTAGATGAAGCGTGCCGGGACCACTGGGTCAGCCCGAGGCATGGCCCTTTATGAGGAGGAGGTGAGCACTGAGTGGGTATTGAAGCCACAGTTGGGGTCCACCACTTCCCTTTGCTCTCCCTCCTGGCCCCTTCCTTATTCTTTCTCCTAAAACCACTTGCCCGTCAGTTTACCATGAGAGAGGTACCCTTGCCCAAGGCATTAGAACACGAGACCAAGTGGATGCTCCTCCCACCTGGAGCCCCCACCTTGGGGGGGCCACCCTCTCACACCCAGGACGCACCCTTGAGTTCCCCTGCTTCGTTGGCTAAGCTCTGCTGGCAGTCCTGCAGGACCAGAGCGATGCCACTCTCCCTCCCTCCGTGGTGATGCAGAGGCTGGGTTGGGTTACACATCTGCGCTCTTTGCCCAGGTCCTCAGGCGACCCCAGGGACTATAATTGTGAGAAGCCTGGTTGACTCCGGCAAATCTGAGCTCAGAGTCAGAGTGGAAGCAGGGTCCAGCCCCACCTATGATCACTCAGGGCTCTGTCCATGTCCAAGTCAGAGTAAAGTCCCCCACCCCCATGTGCCTTAGACTTTCACCAGTGTGGCTGTCACCACTTGCTGGTCCCTGGAGACTGGGGACTGGGGGCATCTACTGTCCTTGGGGGGGGGGGGCAGCTCCTCTTCTTTTCCACAGGCTCCTCCCTGATACTAGCCATCCATCCAGTTGCCTGACCCCCTCCCCTTCCTAGGCCCATTTCTCCTACTTTTCTTTTCTCCTACTGCAGCAGGTGGAACGTATTGGTGACATAGAGGAACGTGGCAAGATCTTGGTGTCCCTCATGTACAGCACACAGCAGGGAGGCCTTATCGTGGGCATCATACGCTGCGTGCACCTGGCCGCCATGGACGCCAACGGCTACTCAGATCCATTCGTCAAGCTGTGAGTCATTGGGACTGTGAATGGACCCCAAAGGGGGTCCTAGATCCTTGCAAAGGGAGAACCAGAGAGCTTCCCCCAAGATCATTGCACATTGAGTCCCAGGGAGGGAAATGAGCCTGCCCAAGGTCACACAGCTAGACAATGCCCAGAACTGGCTAGAGCATGAGTCTGGAGTCTCAGACAGTCAGACTCGTGTGTCGCTCGCCCATATGAGGAGCTTCGTGGCTCTGTCCCCTCCGATGGGAGAAAGGCAGTCGGCAAGGTTACAGTGACCCCATTTGGAGCCCCCTGGAATCAGCAACATGTCCCTCCCGCAGTCCAGAGCGCCCGAAGAAGCCATCCAGCTTTTTCCAGTGCAATCTGGAAATGCTCAAAGAGAAGACCTTAGACTTTGGGTTATTCCCAGAATCTCCACCGTGGGGAGGCAGAGAGTCGTGTTATCTGTGTTAGTCCAGAGCCTCTGGAAGGCTGCCAAGATGGGACTCAGCAGACCAGGGCTTCACTAGTGGAAATGCCTGAGTGAGGGAGACGGAAGACCTGCTAGACCGCCATACGAGTCTCACTCACGTGAGCAGAGGGGACAGACGGGGGCCAGTGGATGCAGCCTGGATGCAAGTTCAGCAAGGCCGTCAGAGTCCTCAAGGCCAAAACCAGCCATCAGACGAGTCCCAGGGCTCCTAGGAGCAGGACTACCCTAATATTCCTGCCACCTTCAGTCATCAGCCAGAAACAGGGCCGTGGCAAGAGCATGGCTGGGTTTCCAGGGGCAGCAGCTGGGGCCTCGGTCAGTGATGCTGTAGCTGGAGGTCTGCCTGGCACATTCTCATGGCCATCATTGAATCAGGCGTGGGTCCCACTCCCATCTCTGCCCCCTGCAGCTGTATAACTATAAACAAGTTATCCTAACCTCTCTGAGCCTTGGATTCTTCACTGGTATAACGGAGACAGTGGCTCCACTTATGTCCAAGAATGGGCACAAGGCTTAAGGCTCAAATAAGATATCATATAGAAAGCAATTAGAAATGTGCCTGCTACAGTAATATTTGGCCTGCTCTTCAAGAGAATTCTGCATTGCCTTGCGGCAGCTAAACATGTGTTTCTATGGATATGATTGAAAGCTTGAGCTCTGGATCCAGACTGCCTGGGTTTGAATCTTAAGAGCCAATCCTCTTCAGTATTCTCTAGCCGTGTGACCTTTGGCTAGTGCCTTCACGTCTCTGGGCCTCGATATCCTCATCTGTAAAATGGGAAGAGTGCTATCGGGCATTAGGTTCTACCCTCCAAGAAGCAGACTCCAAGGCTAAATGAGATGTGCAAGAGATTTATTGGGGGAAAATGTCTGTGAAGAAAAACTGAGAGGGAGCCAGAGGAGGACCATAGGGAAAGCAGGTGGGGAGGAGGAGGGGCCCGGGAGGACGGTTAGGCAGGAAGCGTCTTAGATTGCAGTACAGTTCTGAGGAAGTTTCAGCGCAGGTGATAGGGAATCCTTGAGCGCAAAGCCTGCATCTCCCACCGGGGCTGCCTCCTGCCCTCGCTGGCCCAGGTGCTGGCTGGGAACCCAGGGCCAGCGCAGCCACAGCGAGAACTTAGTGGTGAATTCAGAGCCCAGCACCTTGTCAGTCCATTTTGCCCCCTGCAGCTGGAGATCTGAGAGAAGCATTGTCATAGGGTCTGGTACATAGTAAGTGCTCAGTAAGCATCTGCCATTACGGTTCTAAATCACTACCCCTGCTGTTCCTACTCATGGCAAAGAGTGTTTATTGATGTTCCCTCCAGCCCGGGAGACATTCCCTCCCACCGACTCCCTCTCGTAATAGAAAGCAGTGCTCCCCTTAAGGTCATGGCTACAAAATCAGGCCAGGGCGGACTTTGCTTCGGATTTTCTTTGAATGAGGATTTAGTGAACAAAAGAACACATGAGTCAGGGATGAATTTGATTTCTAGGAGTACTTGGGTTTTGTTTTCTCATATGGTCCAATAAAGAAAATTAGCTCATGGGCTGCTATCCTGCACTCTGTTACATCCCAGCCACAGGCAAACTGTTTTTCTTAAATAATTCTCCCTACCACCCCTTCTCCCATCCACCCAATCCCTGCAGAAGAAGGAGCGTTGCTGTGGTCACCGGGAAAACGGCTGCCCTGGTGGCCGGTGTGGAAAAGCTAACAGGAGGCCATTAATCAGTCGAAGATTGAATTAAGATTTTTTTTTTTTTTTTAGATTTTATTTATTTATTTGACAGAGAGAGACACAGCGAGAGAGGGAACACAAGCAGGGGGAGGGGCAGAGGGAGAAGCAGGCTCCCCGCGGAGCAGGGAGCCCGATGCGGGGCTCGATCCCAGGACCCTGGGATCATGACCCGAGCCGAAGGCAGACGCTTAACGACTGAGCCACCCAGGCGCCCCGATCGAATTAAGATTTTTAAAATCAGAATTGCCCTTTGTCTTTGCTCAGCACTTCATACCGTTCAGTCCCCCCTTTGTGTCCCTTCTTTAAAATTGTCCTCAAGGGGTGCCTGGGTGGCTCAGTGGGTTAAGTGTCCGCCTTCAGCTCGGGTCATGATCCCAGTGTCCTGGGATCGAGCCCCACATGGGGGCGTGGTGGTGGTGATGGGGGGTCCCTGTTCATCAGGGAGCCTGTTTCTCCCTCTCCCTCTGCTGCTCCCCCTGCTTGTGTGCTCTCTCTCTCTCAAATAAATAAATAAATAAAAATAAAATAATAAAATTGTCCTCAAGGGCAGTGGGAGGTACAGGCTTCCAGTCATGGAATGAATGAGTCACAGGGATAAAGGCACAGCAGAGGGAACATCATCAATGGCATTGCAATAATGTTGTGTGGTGACGGATGGTGAGTACCCTTGTGGTGAGCACAGCTTAAGTATCGACTTGTCAAGTCACTGGGTTGTACACCTGAAGCTAATGGAACACTGCATGTCCACTCTGCTTCAATAAAAATAAATTATCCTCAAAAGCAGTTCTGTAAGTGAGGAAAAAAAGTGCCCCCTTTACAGATTGGGAAACTGAGGCACGCTGAAGCTACACTTAGGTTCAAAGTTGCACAGCTAGTGACAGCTTTAATGAGAATCCAAATGTCCCAACTCTTTGGAGTTTCTGGCCCATTTTATTTATTTGCCCAGAAAATATTGATCGAGCACCTACTATGTGCCAGGTATTGTGCCTACACTGGGGAAGAGCTGTATGTGCAAAGGCCCTGGGGTGGAAAGGAGAGTGAATGGGGAGTCGGGTGAAGAGCATAACACAAGAGCATGCTGGGCTGGAGCAAGGACCCGATCATATGGAGCCTTAAAAGCCACATCAAGGATTTTGAACTTTACCCTGAGATCAAAGGGGAGCCACTGAACAGTTTTGAGGAGGATTGATTGTCATCAGATTTGCATCTTCTCCTTTCTGTCTATACAATCCCCGCCTCCCCAGGACTTGGGGGCAACCTAAAGGGTAATCGTGCACTCTAGGCACTGCTCTCCAGGCTTTCAATGTGATCCACTGGGGCCGAGTACTAGCTAAGAGCACAGACTCCAGAGGCAGCCACTAGGTTGAGTCCCCAGCTGTGTGATCTGAGGCACATGTCTCAACTTCTCTGGGTGCTCAATTTCCTTGCATGTGAAATGGGTGGTTGTAGCTCTACCACCGAGGGTTTGTTGAGAATGAAATACCCTGCACGTGCTTAGAACAGTGCCTTGTAGCTGCTCTCATGCACATTGTTAATGTTGATTCACTTTCTGATTTGTTCAATTATTCTCCTGACATGGGAGGGAGGCTTTGGGGTCAAGAGGCTGATCTTATTCATTAAACTTCCTCCACAATAGCATCTCTGTCTCCTCTCAGCTGGCTGAAACCAGACATGGGAAAGAAAGCCAAACACAAGACTCAAATAAAGAAGAAAACCTTGAATCCTGAGTTTAATGAGGTAAGGCTGTCCCACTTTTGTCATGCTCTGAGATATTTCCTGTGTGTGAGAGAGAAACAAGCTCCCTACTAGAATGTTACAAAGCACATCAAAAAAGTTTTCTCTTGGGGCTCCTGGGTGGCATAGTCAGTTGAGCGTCTGACTCTTAGCTTCAGCTCAGGTCATGATCTCACGGTTGTGGGATCGAGCCCCACGTCAGCTCCCTGCTCAGTGCGGAGTGTGCTTCAGATTCTTTCTCCCTCTCCCTCCCCACTCTGTCGCTCCCTGGTCATGCTCTCTCTCTCTCTAAAATGAATAAATAAAATCTTTTTTTAAAAAAAAGTCTTCTCTCATAGATCCACTTGAATTATCTAAAGGATAGGTAATGAGTTCCTTGTCACCAGAGGGAATCGAGCCCAAGACAAAAGCCTCTAGATGAGCAGTGTCATAGGAAGAAGCTGCATTTGGAGACAGATTGAATGAAATCATTTCCAATGTCTAGTAGTCTGTGGTCCTGAAATTTGAAGAAATAAATAGGGGTAGTGATGCCTTTTAGCAGTCACCCAGTTGGCACTGCCCTCTCTCTCTCCCTCACTCCCCATGTCTGTCCTGGGCATCAAGTCCACTATCTACATACCCATTGAATGTGCCCCTTCCTGTTGTCTCACTGTTACTTGAGCATTTCATGTCTAGACTATTGCAGTAGACTTCCTGACTCACTTCCTTGTATTTGGCCCATCCTCACATAAGCATGAGCTTTCTAAAGAACATATCTGAAGTTTTCATCCCCGTTGCTTAACCCAGGAATGGTTCCGTAACTTCTTAGTGTGACAGTCAAGCCCTTTCAAACTCATGTCCCACCCCTGCCCCATCTCGCACTCCCCTCCTCAAGTCACCCTAACTTCACACGGGTCCTTGGTACATCTCTTAGCCTTTGCGCTTGCTGCTCCCTTTTCCTGGACCTCCATCTCTCTCTCTTCCTCTCTGGCAGACTCCTAGTCATCCCTCAAGGGTCAGTGTGTTATAACCCCTGCAGGCTTTACGTGTCCTTGCATCTCATGCTGTCCCCCTGGATTTCAGTTATTTGTTGACAAGCTGTCAGATACTAGGGGTCCAGAAATATCCATTGAATGTAGTGATCTGATGTCAGATCAGAATCAGCTAGCACTGGTTTTTACCAAATGTTGGAAAGTGGGCCAAGAAAACTACAATACAGTGTGCTTTGTGTTGTTTTGCTTTTGAAATGCATGTGCCCGTATGAGCGTGCATGGCGAAAGTTCTTTGTAAACAGAGCTCAGAGCATCACTGGCCAGTAGTTCAGTGCATCCTATTCCCGGGTCCCTCCTTCAGCTGGAGCCCTAATGTCCCAACTCGGACTCCTGAATTTTGAGTAAGGAGCCAACGACTGCTGTCACTGAAGAAGAAATCCAAATAGCAATAAGCCTCATTAGCAATAGAGAAGATACAAAACAAGGCCAGACACCGGATCTCATCACAAACTGGCACAAAAATATTGTAAAATGTTGGTACCCGGTGTTGGTGAGCCTGTGGGGAAATGTACACACCATGGGTAAGAGAACAAACTGGTCCAACTTCCTAAGGGATGTTTGTCAAACTGCTCCAAAAGCCTTAACGTTTTAAAATTTAAATGCCATTTATTTGAGGAACAGGTAATATAGTCACATATCTGAAAATTTCAAAAGTACCAAAGGGTATCCAGTCAAAAATCCTCCTCCTTTCCCAGCCTCTATCACCTACTTCTCTTCTTCTGAAGCAACTATATTATCCACTTCCAGGATTTATAAATATACAAGACAAGTATGTACTAGCCAGCTTTCTTACTGGTCACAAATGGCATCATGGTGTACATCCACTGCTCTCTATCTTAAAACTTTACAAACTCAGGGGCGCCTGGGTGGCTCAATCATTAAGCGTCTGCCTTCGGCTCAGGTCGTGATCCCAGGGTCCTGGGATCAAGCCCCACATCGGGCTCCCTGCTCGGTGGGAAGCCTGCTTCTCCCTCTCCCGCTCCCCCTTCTTGTGTTCCCTCTCTTTCTGTGTCTCTCTCTGTCAAATAAATAAAATAAAATCTTAAAAAAAAAAAAACCAAAAAACTTTACAAACTCAGAGATACATGTCTCAGAATTTATCCTAAATAAATTATCATGGATTTACACAATGACTGAGTTACAAGGGTGCCTTTTATCATATCATTAGTGGTAGTGGAAGGTTGGAAACAACCTAAATACTCAATTGTTGGGCATTAGGTTAAGGGACAGCCACACAGGCATTAAATGAAACTGGAAAGATATTTAAAATGCTAACACACTAAGTTGGTTTTTTACCATATGTTCTAAAATGGGAAAAGAAGACTGTCACAATGCAGCATATTCATATTATACTTTATATAATATTCAGATGTTTAATATAATATTCAAATTAATATTCATATTAACTTCTTAAAACATATATTAATGTGGTCGCACATGGGGAATGTTGACAGTGGCTATTCTGGGGTATAGTTAGATAGATGACAGGCTTTGGGGGTTGGGTTTTATTTGATTTTATTTTAGCTTCCTCGTTTGTTTTAACAATGAACATGAATGAATTTTACAGTTAGGCAGAAAAGTTATGTAAAAAGTCAGATTGTCTGGAAACCTAAGCACCTATCCTTCATGTCAGTCTCCGTGCCCTCAACTACCCTTAATCTCTAAATGATGGAGAGAGGAAAACCTACTTCAGAAGCTACCAGAATGGAAGGACTGAATTCACAGCCATTTGCCTTCAAGGAAACCTGACCAGGAGCAGCTGTCTTAGAAAAACCCCATCAGCCTTCCTGATTTTAGAGAGTCACTGAAACGTGAATTACAGGGCTTGAGAGACTTTGTTATACAGAGTGTTTGTTGAAAGGGGATTGTCAGTCCTGGGGTAAAAGCTCCAGCAGGAGGGCCCCCTTGCTCCCAGATGCCCAGTTCCAAGGGCCTCCCCTCGGTCCGGCTCAGCCTCTTAGCTTCTGATGCTGAAGGCTCAGGACCCTCCCAATCACCTGTCTTTCTCTGCTGCATCCAGGAGTTTTTCTATGACATCAAACATGGTGACCTGGCAAAGAAGTCCCTGGACATCTCGGTCTGGGACTATGACATCGGCAAGTCCAACGATTATATTGGTGAGTGCTCCTGGCTCCCAGAGAAAAGCCCATCCTCCCAGGAGAGAAGAGCCTTAAGGATCCAAGCTTCTCTTGGAGGATTCAGGGCACTCCGTGTCTTTTGGTGGCTGCATTGTCCAAACGCCATGTCAGGACCTGGAGTACTGATCTGGGTCCAATTTGGGGATGCTTTTATAGGAAAGGGCTTACAAAGCTGGGTGATTGGGTCATGATTGGTTATTTGCTGAACAGATCACCTCCAGTGGATAATCAAATCACAGAGGAGAGTGATGTCTGTGGCCTCAGAAAGTAGGGTGCAAAGGAAGTCCCCTTAATTAATTTGCGAGTCCTGGAAGAAGATTCTAGTTTTCCCAGCTCCTCTTCAAATGATGAGGAAGATCAGTCATTAAAGATAGAGCAGGGAGGGCACTCCAGGCAAGGGACACAGCGTAAGCAAAGGTGTGGAGGCAGGACTGGACAGGGTGGCCAAGCTGACCCTTTGGAAATAGACAAGGGGTATCCAGAAGTAGTGGGAGACAAGTTTCTGTGAGTGCGGTGGTGACTTACAGAAGGTCTTAAAAAAAGGAGACCGTGAAGCTACGACTTAATGCTCCAATAGGGAGCCATGGCAGGTTCTTGAGTAGCTAGTGTGCAGACAGAGAAGGCCAGGAGTAATAACAACATCATAACAACAGCCCTCCATAAAGAAGGACCCCAGGTTGCTGGAGGGGTCCCTGCTTGGTGGCAGTTTTTCCCCAACTAAACATTTGGATCCAGAATGAGAGTCCCATGTGTCCCTCCACTCTGACCACCTCCCTCTGTCTCCCCATCTTGTCTTCCAGGAGGCTGCCAGCTGGGGATCTCAGCCAAGGGAGAACGCTTAAAACACTGGTACGAATGTCTGAAAAACAAGGACAAGAAGATTGAGCGCTGGCACCAGCTACAGAACGAGAACCACGTGTCAAGCGATTAGGGTGGGCCCCCAGGTCCCGGCTCCATGCCCTACCCCATGCCAGGTCACCCGCCAGCCTGACCCAGCTGCCCTTCGCACTCTGGTTTCTCTTCTCTCTGCCTCCCCCACCCTCTCCCTCCTTGCGCCTGCCTTTGAGGTGCCCCCTGACCTTGGGCACTGCTGCCAAAGACCTTTCTCCTCCATCTGTGATGCTGTGGTGCAGGCCCTGACTGCAGCCCCTCTCTGGTCCCTCTAGGATGGAGCGGGAGGGAGAGGGATGCAGAGATTTTTACAAGGAGGCTAGAATTTAACAAGCTGTCTGGGAAAACTGCAAAAGTTCTTCATCATTTAGGACTGTTTTTAGACCCTCCTGGCCTTGAACACACACACACACACACACACACACACACACCCCTTGGTTTCCAGTGTTATGTCTGTGTATACCCTTAGCTGTCAGCTGACCAGAACAAGGCTGTAAGGACCAGCACTGGGGCAGAAATAGAGCATCCAGGCCCCCACTGCCGCTCCACACCATACCCCCTGATTGCCAGGAAAACAGACCACCATGTTTAAACTCCCCGGTGACTAGGAACGCACCCTCCTGGCCCCAAATGCGTCCAGAAATAGACACATGGAACACATAAAGGGGCTTGGCAGCCCCCTCTTTCAGGATGCCATCTGTTTGCTTCCTAGCAAAACCCAACACCCTTTCTCTAGCGCCCCCCCATCCTCCCGTCCTTCCCTCTCCCTCTCCCTAACCTTACACCCCATCAAACTCTTTCTCAGCTCCTTACACTCCTCTGTCCCTCTCCATCTCTCTGCCCTTCTCCTTTCCCTCTTTCTAAGAAGGTAAATTAGCAACAGCAAAAAAATACCTTAAGCCAGCCTCACCCCCTCCCCAGCTTGGCCAGCAAACTCAAACTGGCCCCTCCCCAGTTCCAGTTAGGCCCACTCTTCTCAGCACCGCCCACGCCTCCTGGTGGCGGAGCCCGGGGTCCCTGGCTGGGCCAGCTACTGGCGCTGCCCCCCTCCCCCCCCCTCCCCTGGTGCATGGCGGCCTCCCGTCAGCTGCATAGACGCCCCTAGAGGGCTTCCTCGGCCCCTGGGCTGCCCATATAGGTGCAAAAAGCATTTAGAAACCAGAGCTCCGGGTCTGGGGGGGGCGCTCTCCAAAGCCCCCAGCCTTCCCTCTCCGTCTGCTCTTAGTTAAGTAAACACACTGCTCCATCCCTGGCGCTCTTCGACTCTCTGCTTCTCTGATCTCTGGAGTCCTGTCTCTCATTGAGAACCACCTTGAATCTCTCTGTCCGTGGCTCTGTCTCAGTCTATCTCTTGCACCCTTTTCACCAAGTTTGTCGGGAGAATAAAATACCATCATGAATGTGAAGCTTCAGAGAGTGACAGATCCTGATGCCAAAGACCGTTGTTCCATCATGAGTCTCCGGTCTTTCTTCCTAAAAAATTAAAAAATAATAATAAAAAGGAGGAAAAGGCGATGAGAATGAACATTATAAATGCGAGGCTGGGGTCAGGGCATCGTCACTGCCCCATGAGAAAGGCTTGTTTTCTCCCGGTTTCCAGTGTCTTCCCCCGTGAAAAATCCTCTCCTTCTGTCTGACAGCCTGTCGTCTATAGATGTCATCAGATGGACACTCCAACTCTCACTTTCTCCAAACGCACCTTTTAACCTTTCCCAATCAATGCCTTCACCCTAGCTCCCTGCGCTATTCATCAGAAGACTCTGATTTCTTGCCTTGAATAACCATCTTCTAAACATCAAACTCGTCGCCTTCCCCAAGATGGCCAGTGACTTCCAGGCTGCCATCTTGCCCCCTGGCCCTGCCCCTCCGTCAGTCCCCGTGGCCCTGACCCAGCTGCTCCCATCTTGCCCCCTGGCCCTGCCCCTCCGTCAGTCCCACTCTCGGCCCACCTCCTTCTCACTGTTTGCCCCCAGGAGAAAGCATGCTGGCTGCACAGCTCAAGCCGGACACTGGTATTGGCGCTGGGATCAGCATGCAGCAAGCTCACGGTGTCCCTGGTCCGGGCGCACGCTGCCCCTGACAAATGTAACCACCTCCCCGCCTAGAATACACACACGCCCTCCAGTGCATGCAGAACTGCCCACTGCCTTTCTCTGTGATGATGTAGCCAAAAATAAAGTAGGAATATCCAGGAAAAACTGGTGGCCTGGGTTTTTCCTTTCTGGTTTCTGGAAGTGCTTCCTTCCCATCGGGATACATGATGCTATTTGGAGAGTCAGTGTTTTTTTGTTTTTTTTTTTTAAGATTTTATTTATTTATTTGACAGAGAGAGACAGTGAGAGAGGGAACACAAGCAGAGGGAGTGGGAGAGGGAGAAGCAGGCTTCCCGCGGAGCAGGGAGCCCGATGCAGGGCTCGATCCCAGGACCCTGGGATCATGACCTGAGCCGAAGGCAGCCGCTTAACGACTGAGCCACCCAGGCGCCCCGGAGAGTCAGTGTTTAAGGAGCATCTGCAGCTACAGCTACGTCCCAACCCTTGGGGTTACTGCAGTGGACAAGGCAGATGTGGTCTCTGGCCATGTTGGCCAACTCCACACCCTCTTAGAAGAATACTTTTTGCTGGTGCCCACCCAACAGGGGGCCAGCATCTGGTGTGGAATTAGACAATGTCAAGGCTCAAAGAGACGAAGAGTTGAGCCAGGGCCTAGTTCAATCACCTCACTTATCTGACAGAGGAATAAGCTAAAGCCCAGGGAAGGGACTGACATGGCCAACAGCTCACGGCAGCAATGCCAGGAAAGGATCTGTTTCACTGGACTCCTGGTGCAATGTCCTTAACACGCTGATTAATAATACCACAGATCATCAGTGCCTCCTTTATGTTCTAGCACTTTCCATCCTGCAAGGAGTCTTCACAGATGGCCTCCAACAGCCCTGAACATGAGCTGAGGAGGTAACTAACTTCCCACGGGGATTCTTAATCTCACCAAGATCTATCCCAAAAGTGTTTAAGTAATTTATCAGGAATGTCGGTTACTTCCCAGAAGGAACCATCAGTTCCATCCACCAGATGGCCAAGTCAGAGACAAGATCTTTTCCTTATCCCCAAAAGAGTGGTTCTCAATCCTGGGGAAGAAATAGGCATATTAGGGTCACCGGGGGAGATTTTCTTTTCAAACTACCCCTGCTCTCCCTGCCACTCCGCCCCCAGGCCCTAAATGTGCCCTGGGGACAAGGTGTATATTTGAACATATTTCCTAGTTGATGCCTTGTGCTTCCCACCTCCCTCATGACTTTGCCAACTGCCCTACAGTCCATCTGTTTTTCCTACAATTTAGCCAGTTGCCAGCAGGTGGAAAGAGGTATCAGTTAGGGCCATGCAGCCCCCTCCAGGAGCGGCAGGAGAACCTGGTTGCCCGGTGCTCATGGCAGACATCACTAATCTCTCCCTACACTCATAGCAGACATTGCTAATCAATATGGCATCTTCCCCACAGAGCCGGCTAGCAGCCTCTGAATCCTTCTCAACACAGCATTCTAGGCAGCCACCAGCAGTCAGTCGTGGGCAGTTGAAAAGAAAGCTAATTTCCATCTCTAAAATGGTTGATCTCCTTCCCCAGGTATGTGGACATGCCAGAGAAGCCCAGATGAATATACATGAGGAGAGTTTCCATAAATATGGGTATGCCTGACTTGGCTGATGTACCTGCTTCAAGCTGATTTAGGGCCAAGTAGGGACTTCGGAATGGAAGGACTTGACATAATGCAGGACATAACTTCCTTGTTCTAATGGAGGAGATATGTCAAAGGTCATCCCTTATCTGAGAATGTGGATATTCTCCTGCATAGGTTGGCTCTGCATGACATCATTAACCTTATTCCCAAGTATATCCCAAGGAACAGGGACAGTATAGCCAGGCCTAATGTTATCATTTCCTCTAAGGGGCGCCTGGGTGGCTCAGTCCGTTAAGCGTCTGACTCTTGATCTCAGCTCAGGTCTTGATCTCAGGGTCGTGAGTTCAAGCCTCGAAATGGGCTCCATGCTGGGTGTGGAGCCTACTTTAAAAAATAAATAAAAATAAATAAATAAATAAAATAAAATAAAATTGATATGATACTGGTGGGTATTCTAGAGAATAGATCAGTAAACCAGTCCCAGCCACCTTGGAAAAGGGGGTTGTGGCGTTCAAGGGCTTCTTGTAGCCAAGCGGCTTGCTGCCTGATTTATCTATATGTATTCTTACTTCCCAGGAGGAGATAATATAAATATGGCAAGTGGTGGTGTTAGCCGTAATAGAGACTCGGCCTTGTTCTGCAGGCAATCAGGTGATGAATAAGAGGCGTTTCTATGGAAACGTAAGCAAAACACAGGTTAGGGGCTCCTGGAGACCCGCCTTCCAACTGCCTCCCTGCTCAGCGGGGAATCTGCTTCTCTCTCTCCCTTCTGCTCCTCCCCTGCTCGTGCTCTCTCTCTCTCTCAAAAAAATAAAATCTTTTTAAAAAATAAAAAGAAAGAAAGAAAAACACAGGTTAATGGTTGGAGCAAATTACAAACCCAATGTGAGAGTCCTGAGTGCGGCCAGTGAGATTTCTAGATGTCAGGCTGGAAGCACCCTCAGATGGAGTGGGGGCAGGCAGCCTGAGTTCCTTCAACTCAGCAACAATCTGGTGGGTGTTTCTGGTTTGTAGTTCAAACGTCCCCAGCCATCCTTTTGAGGGGCCTGCAGGGCAACAGGCACTGAGACTGTCAATATAGGAGCTGCTGAGACAATTTCTCTGAAGTTTATCTCAAGGTGTCCAGCTTCCGTTTGCAAAGCTTCAGGAGAAAGAGCAAGGACTCCAAGACAAGAGAGTGGGAGAAGATCAGGAACCTGAGTTTGGAGAGTCGTTGCCAGACATTCGAGGAAACCAGGATTCAGGATCCAGCCCAGTTTTATAGGCAAACAGCAAACACTCAAAGATAATTAACCAGAACCAGAATCTGACAAACATCCACAGTGTTACTGAAACATAATCTTTTTCTCTAAAGTCGCTGTCCCGTTAAAGATAGCCAAATGAAGACTAATGTGTTTGTTTGTTTTTTAAAGATTTTATTCATTTATTTGAGAGAGAGAATGAGCGGGGAGAGGGGCAGAGGGAGAGGGAGAAGCAGGTCCCCACTGAGCAGGGAGCCCGACCTGGGACTCGATCCCAGGACCCTGAGATCATGACATGAGCCAAAGGCAGACGCTTAAAAGACTGAGCCACCCAGGAACCCCCCAGACTAATATATTTGTAAAATATGTCCAGTTTTAACAAACTTGGTTTAATTATTTACAGAAGCACAGCAAGAATAGTGATTGACCATATAGGGTTTTTTTTTTTTCTTTCAATCTGCTCTGCTGGAACTTTTTATAAGGAATTTGAGATTGAGTCTGTAACAGTATTAA